TGCTGAATCTAAGACGTTTTATGGTGTCCTACTCCTCGACAGCATCATTTAATGCGTCATAGTAGCGTTTGATACGATCCGAAGATTGAATTTCTCGGAATACCATAGATTCAAACTCTTCATATAGCGTTCTACCACCATCTTGCCATGTTTTCTCGTACACCGTCTTAATCTGGTTGATCCCCACTCGGCGGGTACGTACTTAGTGAAGGCGAGCGCAGGTTTCGAGAACAATGGCTCGATATTCGCCATCATCGGCAGGCAGAGGCAATTTGAGCCTTGCAAACGAACCATGTAAAGATCGCATTCCCCATTCAGCAGCTTGACGAACAGATACTAGCTCTCGATTTATATCCAGCAGCACTTCCAATCCATCAAGCAGCCCCTGTTCTCGTAGGATGCGCGGCTGACGAGATCGCTTCTTTAGAGGTGTTTTAATTCGACTGGAGAGACCTCGGCGAGACCTCGGGAACGAAGAGTCAGCGATAGCAAAATATCCCTCGGGAGTCTTGTTCAGTAGTTTGCCGTACAAGTCTTGTGCCACAGCAGCATCATGCCAGCTTCCAGGGGCATTCAAAAGTGCACAAAGAATTGCTCCATCTGGTGCAAACACGAAAACGGACGAGCAGTAATGCGAACATGTCCATCCGTTGTACTGGGAGTTTTGAGTGTCTTCGTCCAATGATTCAGCAACTGGAATCTTTACTCCATCGATGGAACAAAATGCGCCGTGAAGACTTGGATGGCGAGCTGCAATAAGCTCAGCGTAGTACGCAAACTTTGCAGGGATCTTGGGCCATTCAATCCTTCTTTCCGGCGTTATCTTCAATGTTTCGAGGAGAATTCTCAGTCCAAAGTTCACGTAGCGGCTACAAACACTTGGCGTGAGACCAAATATCTCCTGAAGAGAGAGTTCAGCCATCGTAGAGTTCAGGAAGTGTAGGACCAGCGCGAGAGCTCCAGTAGGCGATAGTGAGCGGCGTGAGGGCCGACTTACTCCTTCAATATCAACGTCACTCCGAGGAATCGGCACACGGTCCCAGACCTCAGTAAACGGTCTGAGCAGGGAGTGGAAGCTCGCAACATCAAATCCAGTAGTGATGATAAACGCGGCGTCGTTGCCAGCAGCGTATATGCATTCCCATGATGTCCCATGACGCGGATTTCGCGGGAGATCAGCTCTTGTGAGGCTGCTCCTGCCACGCTGGCGAGACTTCCGGATACGTTCTCCCTCAGCTGCCATGGCAAACATGATGCTGGTCGACTCATCCAGCCACTCGTCGTCGTCTTCATCTTCGTAGACCATGCGGGCGATGCGTGTTAGCGGCATTGGACTGCGTTTTAGACCGTCTAAAACTTCTGTCCGAGGGGTGTGTACCCCGGACAGAACGAAAATCTATCGCGCTGGCACCGCCACGATTTAGACACACCGTGTCTAAAACTGCACCTTTTCTAACCATAAACGTCCGTAAATAGACCGATAAATCCTGCGGGAATTGGTCCACTATCTAAGGGTCATCAGTTTTAGATGTGTCATTTTGAATCTATGAACTAGATTAACTAGAAAATTGATGTATCTCTCTCTCTCTCTCTCTCTCTCTCTCTCTCTCTCTCTCTTGATAGGCCACGATCATAAGATACACCACTTCTGACTAGTCGTGTAATAGGCATCAGTTTTAAATATGCCTTTTCGAGTAAATCTTTAAAGAAAACGATCTTTTGAGCATCGCCAATTCGCTGAGTTACTTTTGTTCTCGCAGTCGGATTTGCATTCTTCAGTTCGGTTCGAGTTTGAGCCTTGGTCTCAATTAAACCCTAGCGCGGACAAAGTGACAACGCTCAGGTTTTCCGCCTGGGTAGAGCCGTTTAGAGTCATTGAGAGGCGGCTGGGCACAGATATCTAAAACCATGATTGCGGGTTACCCTCCCCTCCTACGCTGCAGCCAACAGACCCTCCTTCGCTGTGCTTAGTGAGTTATCTCAGGCCGCGTAGTCTAGTCTATAACCACCGCTGTTATGCAGTTGAATATCTTAATTGATATGAGTTAAGTAAATGTGTTCCCTTGTGTTTAACCTCAAGTCTTATCTTGCTACATTGGGCACTTCAACTTCAACAGAAAGGCTTGCCTTGAGCATACTTTGATCAAGGATCTTTTGTCCTGATTATGCCGTTGTATTTCTTGAGCACTAAGTGATTGGCTCGATAACGTTCGGCACTTTTCAACTTTCAACGAACTTATCACTTCATACTTATTATTGGGAAATCAAAAGTTACCCTTAATTTTCTAGATCAATTCCAAGAATTTTGACTCCGATTAGCTCCCGTAACCGTTCGAACTGCATTTGTAGTAGTGCATTGCTTAGGGCACCCGCTACCTCATATTTGGTCTTGTAGTATTTTACCACAATTCTTCCTTTTTCGTGAATTTATTGAGTAGATATGCTAAGTTTCAAAATGCTGTGTTGAGGAATGGTTAGCAGGATCCCTGATGATACTTATTGCTGCTTGGTTTTCACACCAGCACACTATTGTATTTTCCAGCTGAAACCCCAACTCTGTTAGCAAAACCCATAACCATTCACTCTCTTTAACACCTTCACTGCGAGCTACAACCTCGGCTTGTGCAGTATGCAAGCTTACAGTATCGTGTCGTGAACTCTTCGAAGTAACACATGCACCAGCAAGTACTGTAACGCATCCAATTACGGGTTTTCTATTTTCATTAGCGTTTGTGAAGCTCGCGTCTGTATACAGCACACACATGACTTCATCGCAATTACAGTCATACAGTAAGCCATAATTCGGTGTTCCTTTCAAGTACTTCAGTGCTCTGCGAGCTCTCCTATAGTGATTTTATGATAACACGGCAAGAACTTGTTTAACTCGCGTACTGCATTAGTAATAGACGGTCTGGTACTTCTAACCGCATACACCAGTAAGCCAGTAAATCTTCTATAATTAAAAGATGGTGATGATATTTGCTCAGGTATTAACTTTTTCTCTTTTTTTTTTAAAACCACCAGGATCCAGCAGATCAAATTGGTTAACAGATCGCCTCTGTATTTCTTTTGGGAAATGCTGAGTAATTTAGGCTCACGGTCTGTGATCATCTCAATCTTATTTTAACGTAGTATAGATCACCCAGATTCTTCATTCGAATGCGGGATGATAATTTTGCTATCACTTCATTTTGAGACGACAGAGATAATCCCGCCTGGGTAGGTTATCAACACACAAACA